TAATACCAGTAGAAACGACCAACATGTGTAGATTACGATACCTATGATCACCACAGGTTTGTCACCGACAGCCAGTTGTGTTACACGTGCGTTGGTAGCCATGCACAATGTTTCAAAGGTATGACAAAGAATCTGATCACGAATTTTAAAGGAGGAGGCCGTAGAATTTTCATCCGTTCGTGGACTAGAAGAAATGGGTGTTGAAAAGAGGAGCCTTACAACCTTCGAAGCTCCACCTTGTTGAAGAGATCCCTTAAAAGTTTGAAGAGCTAATGGCTGGAATAGTACTTCGGAGTGTTATATATCAAATACAGTTGTCATGAAAATTGGATTTTGTCTTCGTTTCTTGATTTTTCTTGGCTGGCTGAGCGGATTGTGTGAGTGTGCACTTGAATATTACACGGTATTTTGAGGAGCTGCTATCCACGGGCGCGAGTGATCAGCTGGTCGGTGGGCGGAGATCGCCGGACCCGCCAACTTTGAGGCATAATAGGTCGCCGAGGTCAAATTTTTCGATGCGAATTGCGCATCAGTTCGCACCCTCAGGAGGTCCGTGGGTTACTCAACTAGGTGAATTACTTCTTCCTCGACCTCCATTCTAATCGTAAAATCCTCCTTTTAAATACCTGCCATAACCCCCTTCTTCAAGGTGTTTCTTTTTACCAGGGATTCTGCGAAGTGGTATGGGAGGGTGGTAGCCTGAGGTCCTGAAAAATCATAGAGGAGGCACATGAAGGGCATATCTCTAACCGACTTGCTTGAGGGAGGATAGTAACGTTTGGCTAGAGACGTGAGCATGCGTCGTTTCATCGAAAGCATGCGGATCGCCCTGATTCGATCCACTCGTTTTCGCTTAGTTTCACTGTATAGTGTTCAGGTGTAGTTTTGTAGTTTCTAATACCTTGCTTACGCTTTGATTGTTTTTTTAATCTTAGATTGGCAGTATTTTCCCTTTTTGACACATATTCTTTATTTCATTGTGTTTGGCCTTGCCATGCAATTTTCTACGTGAATATAGTAGAAAGCTTCGCGTGGATGGTATCCCCAGGCGGTCTTAAAGGAATCTTCCGCGGAAAAAGCTCCGCCTCCATTACCACAGAAAAACGATACCCCTTAGGCCCCTAGCCTCATGAGCATAGCAAAAAGAACGGAACATAAGCGTTAGTTTCGATAATACTAATCCTACACACAAGACAAAATGATCACTCTTTCCGTGGAAGATTCCTTTAAGGTATCGTTTTCTGTGGTAATGAAGGCGGAGCTTTTTCCGTGGAAGATTCCTTTAATGAGGTCACTTCGCAGTTATCTGCGGACTATTCTTAATTAGCTGTGAATCGTACCATTTTTTACTGACCCCTCTTCTTCAAGTCGCCCGCCGGTGTGCATGACGACCTGTGCCTCATGGTCACCTCCTTTTTTGGTTAGGTGAAAATCTCGATTTTCGTCGAAATCCCGCCTACAGGGGTGAGTCGGGGTGCCGATCACGGATATGGCACTATTTTTTGGCATCGGCGCCAATTTGGCGCCACAGATTTATTCTGCCAGCTTTTGATAGTAAACCCATTGCCAGGGGCTGCTGATGGTCCTGATTGTGAATATAGCGTTAGATAAAAGCAATTGAGCGCTCCTTTGGAGGTGACAATCGAAAATCAAGATTCTGCGCCGCGGAGCAGAGTCGAACCACAACGTTCCTCCACTCGCGAGCCCATCACTCTATCACTCGGGTGTGTCTCAAGTGGTACGATTGGAAATTTTAGCACCTAATTAGTGCTGCGTCGCGACGAGGTGCGAAGTGACCTCAAATTTTGGCACCTAATTAGTGCTGCCTCGCGACTAGGGCCAGCTTTCTGTGGAGCAGGACGCGCCGTACATGTCCATAATGGTGTAAAAGATTGAACAAGGATTTCGACGGGAGAACGGTGATTAGAGATAAACCCTGATGATTTATTAAAACTAGTTTTCTTCTGAATCCTGCTAAAGCAGATCGGTTTGATGAAGAAAGTTGAATTTGCAAAATAGTTGTCTGAGAGCTGCATTTACGCAGGCGGCCTGGCTAAAGAATGAGAGAAACCTTGACCCCTATACACCTCACATAGGGACTCTTAAAAAGGCGTGTGGGAAACGTCTGCAAATGAAAATATCGTAAGCAATCACGGAGATGCAAAATAGTTTTGCCCACGCTTACCCATAATCGGGCGTGTTTTTTTTTCCCCATCCTTATTTTAGCGGGGGGATTTTTTTCCCCGGAAGGCGAGGGCGTTACACGCGCACATAATTATTTTTTACAAATTTGACAAGGTTTACCAGGAACGAACCACTTCCGATCAAATTGCTTCGTATTTGTAGAAGAATGTCTAGATACTCGTAACTAATATCCTATACATATAGCTGCTTATGAGATTTGAACATATTTTGGATATCTCATCTTCACAAGAGTCAGAAGATTAAAAACTAGTGTTAATGGGTAAATATCAGATTTATGTAAAATCGCCTTTCTCCGTCAAAATCGTTGTTCACTAATCTTTTACACCATTACTGGATATGTACGGCGCGTCCTGCTCACAGAAAGCTGGCGCCCAGTCGCGAGGCAGGCACTAATTAGGTGCTAACATTTGAGGTCACTTCGCACCTCCTCGCCAACGCCCGAGCACTTGAATGTAGGTGCTTAGGATTCATTCAGTTGACCACTTGAACCACCACATCCACCGACCACCAGATCACTGCAGTAGTAGGGTGGCTGCGCGACGACACTTATGAAATTTTCACTTCTCTCCAAGCGCTAACGGCGACTTTAGATTGCTTAAATTTTGACTAATTTCATCTGGTCTTCGATAGCCGATATTTTGTGCAGATATCCGTAATAACTTCGTATAGTATGCTGTAAAAAAGTCCGAAGGGACCCACGGACCTCCTGAGGGTGCGAACTGACGCGCAATTCGCATGGAAAAATTTGACCTCGGCGACCTATTATGCCTCAAAGTTGGCGGGTCCGGCGATCTCCGCCCACCGACCAGCTGATCACTCGCCGCGTGGATAGCAGCTCCTCAAAATACCGTGTAATATTCAAGTGCACACTCACACAATCCGCTCAGCCAGCCAAGAAAAATCAAGAAACGAAGACAAAATCCAATTTTCATGACAACTGTATTTGATATATAACACTCCGAAGTACTATTCCAGCCATTAGCTTTCAACTTTCAGGATCTCTTCAACAAGGTGGAGCTTCGAAGGTTGTAAGGCTCCTCTTTTCAACACCCATTTCTTCTAGTCCACGAACGGATGAAAATTCTACGGCCTCCTCCTTTAAAATTCGTGATCAGATTCTTTGTCATACCTTTGAAACATTGTGCATGGCTACCAACGCACGTGTAACACAACTGGCTGTCGGTGACAAACCTGTGGTGATCATAGGTATCGTAATCTACACATGTTGGTCGTTTCTACGGTATTACGCTAAAGACATCTTCACATATGTTCGACTGAATCTCGGAAGTGCAATGGAGTGACCAAGGCATTATGATTTACACCCCATCGCTTTCTCGACATGGACGTCAGTTTTTTTTCTGATCGTTCAAAGGTCCATACGTCTTCAGCGTTCTGTATGACGATCTCTCGCCATTGGCACAGCCAAGGCTTGACGAGACGATTCCAGATCCCATAGGTACATCGAAAAGACAGCAGTCAATTTTCCATCACCCATGCCGGTCCTTGAGGAATGGGTCACTCATGTGCAACAAGAACACAGTGGCGGCAGCGCCCGGGTCACAAATCGCCCGCACCATACAACCACGTGGGACGGCGGGACTATATGTGCCCCGCACCTGTGCCGTCCATTTTTTCCTCCACGTTTTCCCAATAATTATTCTATGGATGGTGCCAAGGAGGGTTTCACAATGACGTTGGAGGTCGAAAGAGGGGAACCTACCTGCCTAGTGGAAAATTAGGTGGACTTCCTAAGGGTGCGACACGCACTTCGCAGCAAAGGATATGTAGGGCTCCGGCGAGCGTCGCTATTGCAGCAGCACGCCCGGTCTCTCGCCGTCTGAGCCTCTAGCCATTTAGCCTCTAGACGCCAATTTTGCGTTTTGAATAAAACAACCAAGGCAAAAATTCCTTTGTTAACT